AGGACACAACCCTCCCCAGGGGATTAGCTCCAAACCAGATACTGGTCTGGGCTGACAGAGCAGGAGGGCTGGCCCCCTTGCCTCAAGGCGGGCAACCTGAAGGGCCATCCCTTCCTCAGCTCAGTGCTGCCTCTTTCACTCCGTGGGTGCTGATCTTGAGCGTACTCTGTGCAAAGCTTCCTACCCATAAATCTTTGCCTCACATTTATTTATCAGAAATCCTGTCCCAAGGCAATTAATTAATAGTTATTTTATGTTGCAAGGTACTCTCAAACATACTAAATATAGACCAGTTCTTAAGCTGCGTCAGGCTTGCGCGCAGCCTTTCATTCATAACCAAGCAACAGGGCACAAGCTTCTGAAATGCTGCAGAAACTCCGTCCAGCCCTGAGGATGGGAGGACGATACACCAGGAGCTCTTCTAAAGCTCCCAAAATAACAGTACAAGGGATATACAGCCTGGTACATGCACTGGCTTGTAATCCCAGCTGACGGAAGCGAACAGCAGTATACAAAACAGTACTCTGGAAGCACCAAGGAGGGAGGGTCTAACTTTCTCTGAGGCAGTCAGAGGTGTGAGGTAAATCTTAAAACGTGATGAGCGGGGTGGTGGCGGTGGCGCAGGGCGGGTCATTCTTGGCCCAGAACACAGTCTCTCCAAGGCAGCTAGGCTACTGGAAGATCTGGCTCAAGCACAGTCTGATTAAATTCTTCGGAGCTTCCTGCCATCCATATGTAATTGAAAATGACACCAGGACTAGTGTAAAATAGGATCAAGTCCAAAAGCAAAATGTTTACGAGGCTAGGAAATCTGGGGGCCGCTGGCGGGGAGGCGTGGCTCCGAGCTGAAAGGGAAAAGCCCGCGAGGCCCCGTGCTGCGGCCACAGAAGCGGGGTCAGCCTGACTTGACACAGTGACCCAGGAGAAAAGGAGGCATCTGGTCGGTCTGGTAACATTTGGGTACCTCGGCCTTGAATGACAGACAGCAAGAGGGCTGACGTCTGCTCAGGGAAAACATACATCTTGGTGTCACCAGAGCGCAAATGGAAGGAAGCAGGCTGTACCTAGGAACAGACCTCTTGCCTGCGAACTGGATTTCAGGGTATCGGAAGTTATTATTAAGAAAATATAGAGGTGCTGAGTTGGCTCCTTCATAATTTGATTCTGAAAACCAGAAGGCATTTGAGAAAAACACAAGGGCTCTACCAGCATCACCACCACCTGATGGTAGCACCCTTGAGCCCTTACTATGGGACAGTGTTGCGGTCACTTCCTACAACCACCCTTGAAGCAGCTGTTCTTTTCTAGCTCATCTAGCAAGGCAGGGATGGAGGCGGACTCAAACCCAGGCCCAGCTCCAGGGACCCCGCTAGGCGGACGTGTGTGGCCCTGCTCCTCTAATAAGGCCTATGCCAGGTGGGCCGCAGTGAACGGGACCTAAAACGGAAGAAAAATGCTAGTAAAGGGCAAATTCTCATCTTATTCTCAATCCAAAGACAACTCTTTTTATTCAACGTCTTTTGGAGTAACTGTTCCACAAAAATGCATTTTCTAGCTAATCGATGTTTCCCTGAACTTGTTTTACATATTGTATATTTCTCTGCCTTGTTAAAGTAATTATACAGAACATAATGGAACTATTTGTTCTGCTTCAGGGCTATCATTTCTCAGTAACAACCAGGGTGATCAATATAGGGTCATCCACAGGATGCTTTTTTGGTTTTCACTGTCTTCCCTCACTCTTTTGAGTAGAAGCTGTCTCCATTTGGTCATGACAGTGTCTAGATGATTTGACCTCCCTTTTCTTTGTCTACCGGTCTGCTGTGTGTCATCTGCACTAGGACATTTGTTAGTTAGTGCTTTATTCTTGAAGGTCCAGAGAGGAAGTCACCTCTAGACACGTGAGCTGTTATCACTTTAGTGTGACTCCCGCTGAACTCCTCAGTTTAAAATCTATTTTTTTTCCCTCTAAGAGAAATGATAAGAAACTTAACAAAAATAACCCATAGGGGAGTGGGCTGGCAGAAAAAAGTGGGAGGAGAAAAGGGTTATTTCTTTCTATTTAATAACTTTAATTAATTGGGATTGTTTAATGTCACATGTGTTTTAGTTCTAAGAATGCCAACAGTAGTTATCTGGGCAGGGAGTTTTTTTTTTTTTTTTACCTTTTTCTTCCTTTTTTATTTTTAAATGCTATATAATGATACCTATGTGTGTGCATGTATATATACATATATATTCCTACCCATTAACAGAAATACACACAAATGTAAATTTTAAAAATGTCTATGGCAATTACTTAAAAAACTGAAATTTCTTTCTTAATGGTCTATTATATGATAACACTTACACACTTTTATTGTTGGAAATTCTAAATTCTCTTTGGAAGTAATACCTGTGTGTCTATGTCTGTGTGTGTGTGTATCCATATTAAAAAGCTTTTTGGTTTGTGAATAAATTCCTAAATATGTCTGGAAAAAAAGTTTCTGGGGTAGGTGTACATTTTCAAAAATAATTTTGAAGAAACCTACTGAGCTGTCTTCAAAAAACTAATTTTCCTGTGGCACATTTTAAATGATTGCAACCTATACTGAGAGATATAAAAAGAATTTTCCAAAGTTTCCAAAAATTATTTATTGAGCTAAATTGTAAATTCTCACTTTATAGTCAGCACTTTTCTTCCAAAAAAAAAAAATTAAAACACATGTAATTATTGTGTATTAAAAGACAACGATTACAGAAATAAAAGCTCATTAAAAAGACTATATATACTCAAAGAATCATGGAAAGTATTGATATTTACTTCATTTCTTGAAAAAGAAGACATCTGGGGAAATTCTAAATGGTAGTTTTAGTTTCATGAAATGAAAAGTACACCTACTCTGCAGGGAACTATAAAAGGGTTTGGCATATTTGATGAAGTTCTCTAACTTCTAATATAACTGATCTTGTTAAGCACAAATTTTTAGAAAGTTTTTTGTTGCCACCACTACTTAGTTTACTTCTCCCTCCACTTGCTTTCTGACTTGCAGAGTGTTGAAGAAAACACGAAGTGCCTTCTTCAGGTCAGGGCGGGCAGGCATCCTCTCACTGCCTCCTCACCACGGCCGCGGCAGCCGTCATCCCAGACCGAAAGCTGTGCATTGGGGCCTCAGGTCTCATAAAGTGGCTGGAGCCTTCCCCAACAGACTGAGAGAATCTCTGTCGGAGCACGGCGAGCAGCGGGCTTCTGAACAGGGCATCTGGAGAGAGAGCTGGTTCCTGATTGGGTGTTCTTCCCTGGATCATGTAAAGCACAGGTTCATGCCCAAGCCACCTGGTCATGCTGTAGGGACAGCAAGGGACCTATGAACACAAAGCCTGGCACATTGTAGGCACTCAGTAAATAATTGTTGAATAAATGAATGACATGAATCTACTTATATAACATAAAGTTATCTGAATAAAATGATGTAACTTCCCTCTTCAAGATGCTATTAAAAAACAACATTGTTCAAGTGGCTCTGGTTTGTAGGAAAAAAATGAATTGAGCAATAATAGCATAGAAGCAGAGGTCAAAATATGCAAGGCAGCCGTCAGCTCTCTCTTTCAATAGCTAAACTAACTTTGGGATAAAGTTACTTTAACACGTAACTTTAACAAGATACTTGTTAAAGAGTTGTTGGTGGGGGTGAGGGGCTCAGATTTTAATTTTTTTAGTAAACAAATTTAAGTCCTATGAATTCTCATCATATCAGATGATCACATCGATGTTTATTTAAGTGCAATAACTGGCAAGGCCAAAGAGAAATCTTTTAGAGATTATCTGCCTTTTCTGTTTCCATGTTGCTGCATCCCTTTATATCACTTAACAGACACCAGGAAGAGTACATAGCAGCTCCTCATGTAATCCTCAGACTGAAAAAACCCTTAAAGGTCAGCTGGTTCAGTTACCAGAACACAACTAGAAACTACACTTGTGAAACACAGAACTATATATAGAAGCAAGGTCACATCCCTCTATCGCAACTTTGTTTTTTAAAAGATGATAGGCCACACACCACTCATTTCCTAATCACAATATATTCTTTTCTGTTAGTTTATCAAGAAGCATACATATCATGAAGACATATTATTAGAACAGTATTTTAATACTACTAGCATGACTAAACTATGCGGATATTTTAAATTAGGCAAAGCATAATATAAATTTTAATTAACACTTTTTAGTTTGAATTTAAATGGGAGATTATTAAAGTTAGTCTAGGCTTCTGCTTAATATATAACTCCTCTCTTTAGCATATTTTATCTCAAAGATTATATAATAAGAGATTAATGCAGAAATTTTAGATATTTCTATTTTTTAAGTTCTACAGGAAATGCTGAATATGGATTACTATTATTTTGCATTTCTTAAATTTTTCCTATATTTTGAACTAAAATTACAGTATTAAAATAGCTTTTTATTTTGAATCACTGCTAGTTATGCATGGAGATTTGTCACATGAAACTTTCTGTTACTATGATTCATAATACAAAGCCTGTACTTAAAAATTTATTTTAAAATCAAGTTGTAATTCTTTTGGATAAAATAACAAGTACTCTGTTTAACACCCAATATATATAATAATATGCATTCAAACCCCACATAAAATGGTATATTCTCAGAACTAATTCATCAGTTACTGCCACAGAGCATCTATGCAACAAAAAGAACACTTGGGTGTGAGCTGCCCAATAAAATATAGTGTTGAAATCACCAAAAATGGTAGACCATACTTCACAATGAAAGAGGCTGATGCAAACTTAACAGAAAACCCACATCACAGCTAGATTTGGCATCCCCAAGGTATGACATGAGGACTTTTGTTCTAAACAACAGTGCCACCCAGTGGTTGAACAATGGTAGTGAACTGATAAACTACGAATGGAGGGTGGGCAAAAAGAATAATGGAGCTTTGGAACAGGCAATGATAATATTGCAGGCAAAGAGATATACTTCGTTGCCGTGGTAACTGTACCTTGGAGGTCAGTTAGAGTCTGGACAGGAACAGAAACCTGAGCATTGCTTCCTGTAACTATATCACCTGGATTTCATAAGAAAAAATAATTAGATTTCATAAAAAGGAAAAAAATCAACTTTTCTTTCACACTTAATGCTATAATACATTTATCAACTGAATTACTAAAAGTAAAGTAAAACAGAAAATACAGTGAAATATTATGAAAATAAATATAAAATATTTTTAAAAGTAACTATTTTTTAAAAGTGTTTCCTAAAAAGCATTTATGTGTACATGTTTTTCTTAAAGAAAAAGAAAAACAAGTTTCTACTAAAGTATAAAACAAGTTTCTCCTAGTTGAAAGTACAGGAAACTCTAGCAATCAAAATATTTTGCTGAACAGATTTCATTGTGCTACAAATATTAGCATGATTTTATATTTTCTTTTTAAAATTCTTTATACAAAAAAGTTACATTCATTTATTAAGTATTCTTTTGAAATTGATTTCCTTCTATAACAGACACAATTTATTTTTAACTAGTCTTGACACCAACTTCTTCAGTGATCAGATAAGGACCTAAACAAGTTCTAATTTCACATTAAGTATTGAAAAGATTTCAAAAGTTACCACATGTACTTATAAATGTCAACATGTAAAAATAAATCTGTGAACTGCATATCCTTTAAACCTGATATACTTATTTCAGGCAAGATTTCATTTACAAATTGGACCTGATGTAAATGCTTCAAATAAAGAAGCGTTCAAATTTGGAAACCAGACAAAGGCAATGGGGAAAAAGGGTTGCATTTTAGGAACATGGAGAAGAAAGCCAAAAGAGCACTCTGGGACGCTCTGTGAAGAACCGAGGCACACTACCATTTATAGACGGGAGACTTTTTGCTTCTTTGATTTCCTTCCTGGATGACAGGGTTTAACACAAGCACTCACTGTCAACAGAGTAATCCTCTAGATATATCAGCATCTGAAGGCCCATGTTATTTAAAGATTAACTAGGTTAAAAAAAAAAAGGAAGCCTTCTTAAAAGGCACCATATTTTCTATGTATGATAATATATGATTAATGGACTTGCTTTCCCTGTAGTTTTTACACAATAGTAAAAAAAAATTTATTTTTAAACTACATAACATATCCTCAGTGCCTTGACCACTTGTTACAATTATAATTTACAGCATGGTCAGCTCATCTGGAAATTATTGGGTTGCAATGATATCATCCCCATCAATTAACAGTACACACATTTATATTCTCCTCTAACTGCAATAAAATCTATAAATAGGTACATACTCCAAACAACTGATAAACAGCTTTTAGCAGAACTTATCAGGTCCTGAATTTTCATAACGCAGTTAACTCTCTATTCACTGGTAAGTGGCATGCTTGTTTTCTGTATATTTAAAGGAAATTTTCAATTTTATGCTTGCTACCCATTTTATTTTGCTGTTTCTGGATCACCTATTAGTGTACATTTAGAGACTGAAAACTAATTTTAATATTAAATATTACCAGTAAAATTATGAAGGAACATCTGTGCTCCGTTTTCCTTCCTTCATGACCCCACCCCCAACACATACACGAACTACAGAATGCATTTCAAGCAACGTATGCATGAATTTTCTGTTTTCCATACAGCTGTTCCCCTGTATAAGCACAAATGATTGAGAGTTAACTAACCTAGGAAAACCATAAGCGTTTTCATCTTTATAAACAACCATTTTTCAAAACAACTTTCAAATTTTCCAGCAGAGTACACTAAAACGGCTGTTACATTATCTTTCCTCAAAGGCACTAAGTAGATGGCGCCGTTCTGAGAGAGTTAGAAGTCATATTCTAACACAAGCCTCCTGACAGGCTGAATGGTGCTTGCTGTACTACACAAATCTGTGGCACACCTGCGGGCTGGCCGGTGTCACGGCACAGCAGGGTGCCTGTGGGAAATACCTGCTTCAAGAGCCACTGTTGGAGAAGTGTTTTTCACTGCAGAGTTTACAAATAATCTTTCACCACTGGAGCCACAGATTTCTGGAGCTGGAAACCCCCCCAGGGATCATCCAAACCTCTTACTTTAGGGCGAGGAAACGAAGGGTCAGAAAGCATTAGGGGTCCGCTTACAGTTCACCAGTGAGCGGATGAACAGCATGAGCCTACGCTAGCTTCCACTTGCATAAACTGTTCTCTTTGCCTTTTCCTCGGTTTTGTTCAAAACTTTGTGCGGGGAGGGACATTATCAGGAATATCTAACCTTCCATATGAAGGTAGACAAGCTTTTTGTAGATTGGCATGAGAAGAACACACCAGAAATAAAGAGAGAGAAGAGTCGCCAAACAAGGCCACTTCCCTCCAGCACGGAGATCAGTTACAAAATGCCCCAGTGATGAAGCTCATGTTCCAAATACTTTGCTTAAGTGCTCTGTTGTCTTCTTATAACTGGGGACTTGGTTTTCATCAATTGTTCCATCCTCATGCACTTCCTTTCTCACTTACTGTGATATTAATACTTGACATTTCCTTAGAGACACAACTTTATATTTCTATAGTCATTTGGCTTGGTTCCTCAGAAAATTTAAGCTACAGCATTAAGAGATTCTCTGACTCATTTGCCTGCCATCAGTTAGAATTACTACTGAGTACAGCTTGTTATCAAAGCAATATTGAAATCATATTTGTTTAGAACAATAAAACAGTACAATTATGAAATATATAAAATAACATTCATTTCCATTCTGTAAGTGGGCAAGTCTCCTGGCATTAAAATACATTTACAACATGCTAATGATTTGAAGTCTCCTTTTCTTTAAATCATGTGTGATAGCTCCACATTAAAAACAGAAGAATGTAATTTTAAACGAGATGGTCTTATGTAGGTAAACTGAATACTCTAATAAAATTCAAACACTAATATATAGTATCTAATACTGCATATAGGCAACAACAGATAACATGATGTATTTAATGGAAGAACACACACTCATTTTATTATTGGGGAATAAAGACCATTTAACTTAACTTTACCATTTTAAATACCAGTAATTTAAAATTTTTCATAATTCTGGATGTAAACTTCTTAAACAGAGTACACGGAACATGGTTTAAGGTCTTCCTACTGACTCAATATTACTATAGTTGCTGCTAACACCAGTTATGTAACAGGGCTATTGCTTAGGGGCCCCCTTAGAGACATAAATGAGGCATGCATCAGTTTATGTGCCTTGAAACGAACTGGCTATCTGATGCTTTGGAATGCTAAGGAATGATTTTTGTAAATTTTCTGCCATCATGTTATTATTTCTTTCTTCCGTGGTATAGATTGCAGAGTCCCACCACAAAAAAACTAAATGTAGCTCTTTCTAATCTGCTATGAATAGGGGTACTTAATCATATGTCTCTGGAAATAAGTGGAAAAGAAGTGTATAAAGATTCTGAGTTAGAACCTGAAAGGCTCCCTTAAGAATGCAGCACATGAGGGAGGTGAAGCACAAGGGAGGTCCAGAAATAGAAAGGAGTTTACTTGAGTCCCAGCAGCAAGAGTGCCACTGACAGCACCCACGGCAGGGACCTTGCTCATCAAATGAGAGGTTCGGATCGGCTCACTTCCCAGACTTCTGCTCTCAGACTCTATAGCTCAATCATTAGTACATGGACTCAGACACCTACTGTGGCTGCTCAACATTGTATTTAGCTTCCCCCGCCCCCCCCAACCCCAAGGTTCTAGTTTGTGGAGCTCAGAGGTAAAACGGCCGGATGAGTGGCTGCAAACCTAGTGGCACGCTCCTTCCAAATGGACTGCGTGGATGAATGCTCTGCCAGATAAAGCCCGTGAGATTCGGAACTTCCCGTTTCGGATACTCTTCTAGTCAAAAGCATTATTGTCTATGATAGCAGAGATAACAGTCAGCTGATTTCCCATTCTGTGTTGTGATAGTTCAAGCCATACTCTAAAGGGATCCACAGGATTGGGATGCAATTATAGTAGGATACAAATGTTAAAAGAACACCTTCACAGAAATGTGAAACCACATAAAATGGTCATAATTAAGAACAATATCTAATAATCTAACTTAAAAGGATCTAATGCCATGAGTCTTTTTAAAATTAAGTTTTGCATTGACTTCTATTTCCAGGAAATTGGTTTCTCACAGGCAGGTGAGGAAATCCCAGGCTCTATTGTGAGTGTTTCCTTTAGATTTATTAGTACTTTCTCCTTACCTTTGTTCAATTGCACTGGCATGCTTTCCGATTTCAGCAGCCTCTGCTGCTGCTGCTGCTGCTGCTGCTGCAAATGATGCCTGGGGGTCTCTGCTAAGGTTGCTAAGGTCCTGGTGGGAGCCACAGCCATGGAGGAACTGCCACCACTGCCTCCTGATACAGGGCCACCAGCACTGCCTGGGGCCATTGCTGGAGAAATCAACTTCCTTCCAAAATTAATCAGGCTGTTAGAGACTTTATTTATATTCAGGGGTGTGCCTTTGGCATTGGTCCTGTAAAAAAACAAATTAGGTAGAGAGACATTATTTAAATTGGAGGACAACTATATTTTGCATTATTTCACATACACCATTGGTATAAAAATATACCCTACCTGCTTCGAAAATAGCCATTTACTAGATCAGTTGCACCAAGTGAAAAGGGGAAACTTAAAAGTGACTAACCACAGGATAATAAAACAACAGGACTCTTAAAGATGCAGCTTATGGAAAACAATCTTTATACTTTCCACCCATCCATCCATCCATCCATCCATCCATCCACCCAATAAATAGGGTCTATTGCATGCCAACTCTATGCTAGGTTCTGGGGATACAACTGTCCAAAACAGACATAGTTTTCCTTCTGGAGCTTCTAGTCTAGTAGATAGTAAATATATGAATCAAATAATTACATACATAAATGAATTATCAAAAACCTATGGTGAGGACTTTAAAAGAGAGGAACAGGGCTGGGCAAGTCTTGGGCTACCCACACAAGGGGGCACCTGTGAAACAAGGCAACAGGAGGTCCCCCTCTAGCTCTTGCATGTGGGAATGAGGCCACATTTATTATGATTTTGAAAAATAAACTTGAGAGTCATTAAGTAAATCCACAGAAATTATATTAAGTGCCCAGATCATGAGAACTGCAATCCACCCTCATCCCTGCTGCCCGCCCCAGCGTTCCAGAGGCTCCTTCCCCACTTCCCTGCTTTACTTTTCTTGATTGCACTTTGCATCAGCTGACATACTATATATTTTCCTTATTTGATTATTATTTGTCCACTTCTTCCAACCCCCACCAGAGTAAACATTTTATGAAGACAAGGATTTTTTGTTTCTCTGCTATTTGGCCATTGCCCAGCATCAATAGGTGTTTGATAAATATTTGTTAAGTGGCAGCTGCATTCACCTACAGTCTAGGTCTTCTCACCTGTTACAGTGGGAAGAAGAGTCTGTGCCCCTAGCCATGGCCAGTCTCTACGTTCGGGCTCTGCATCTCCCTCTCCTGCGTCACCATTTTCTCTGTCTCTACCATATGAATTCCATTAGCTCACAACAGTCGTTTTGTTTCAAAAGGTGTCTTAATGTGGTACTGCTGCTTCTTTAGTCTCTGGCTCTCTAAGGTCTGATTGTGGCCTTCCATTGCTCTGAGTCCACTTCTCAAAGCCATCCAAGACCTCCCACCACACAGCAGAGCCAAAAGCCCATTCTTATCTTACTCCACCAACTCTCAGCGGCAATTAACCCCTGTAAACACTCCCCACCTTGCACACACTTCCTCCTTAGGCTTCCAGGGTTTGCCAGCCTCTGTGCTACAGCTGGCAAACAGAGGACACCAGGTAAACATTGGTTAAATGAATGATGACTTCCCAAATGACTCATGATCTTCAAGTATTTCAGAGCTAGTATCTTCTTGAAGACCAATTATGAGTATAAATTATTTTAGTTGTAGGAGATAGTTCAACTCCATGACAACACTGAAGTCTGTACTTTAATTGCCCAAATAATTAACAGAAGCTTCTTTTCTCCTTTTTTTGCTTTTCCTTCATTAAAGAGGGAAGCTGAAAATCAGGTCTGAGGGATTCGTTTTCTTGATTTCCGTTAGCTTGAATTTTACCATCGTTTCCTTTCTTCAGCTCTACCTGGCAGCACTTACCTAGTAATTCTCCCACCTTTCCCATGACAGCTGTGCCCTTGGCATTAGTACACACAGCTCTAGAGCCAAACTGATCCGTAGTTGTATAATAAAAGGAAAGAACGCTATCCTTCTTCCTTCCATGAAGTTTTCTCTAATGGTACGAGCTGATATTACAGGCTAGGTATTGGAGCAATATATTGCTTTGGATATAGGACAAATCAAATTTAAAACCTGGAATTCAGCTTTATAAAAGAAAGATTCATTCATTTATAACTCAATGAAATGTGAAAAATCATTTATCAAAAGGTTCGTTTGCATCAAGTTTAATCTTTAAAGAACTGAGCTATTTAATGTCCTTTGAAAAATTATTTAAAAATAGTGTTTCCTAGCAGATACATATATATGTGTATATATACACACACATATATATATATGGTGATTACACACCATTTCTTCGTTTTCAGTTGTTCCTTTACGAAGGAGAGCATTCTCAATTTACAGACATTGTAGCTTACCGACAGAGAAGGCACAGAATACATGTTTATTGAGAAAAAGAATGAATAAAAAGAAAAGAACTCGTAAATCCCGGAGCAAGCAGGCATTCACCCCTGGCACTGCATTGCGCTCAGCAGCCTGCAGGCGCTCCCATTTCCTGTGAGGCAGCAGAAGGAAGAGCTCTCATGATACTGAAGTTCTACTGCAGTTTAGTTTTGCTTCTTTGCAAGTCAAGATTCATAATTCATAGATATGAAGAAGTTATAATGTTGTTACCCTTTTTTATAAACAAAAATGTACTAGTCAAATTCCCATATTGCCAGTTGTAAAATTTATATGCTGATAAAAGTACTAAGAAACTGCTGGAGCATTATCAAGAGAATACGGTTAATGCATCTTCATTACTACTAATAACCACAAAAAACATATAGATCAAGCTCATGCCGAGCAATTTTTCATTTGAATAGCTCTTAACAGGGAATGAGTACTGTTTTCCTTTTTTGAACATTTTTTGTTTTTAACCAATTTCCCCCTCATCCCCTACCCATAGCTTCTAGAAGAATATATTCTTTTCAAAACAACTATCAATGATAACTCTACTTATTTTCAGATATAAACAATTGTAAATTATGTTACTTCTAGGAAAAGCATGCTGTCTGTAGTTTGTTTTTAAGGCATGACAATTTTTAGGCCAACTTAGCTAATATAGATCTTAAACTTCAATAGCAGCATTCTTCACAAGAAATACTAAACAATTTGCAACAATTATTATTATCTGTGATTTATACTATTAAGTCACGTGTGCTACATTAATAACAATTAATGCAGTTATCAGAAATCTGATGGGTAGTGAGGATAGAACTGGATCAAAGGTGGAGTATAATGTGTAAATAGTGTTGAAATAAACAGTAAGAGGATTTTGCAATTAAGACATTAGGTCACAAATCTAATGAGTAACACGTTCTGTATAATCAAAGATTTTCATTACTATTTTCTATTACATGTTACTATTAAGTAAATAGTACCATCTAGGAGAGATTGTTTTGAAATTGTGCCAACAACTTAACTTTGGGCATAACTTCATTTAGCAGCTTGAATCAGTAGCAAATGGGCACTTCTCTGAAAATCCATGAATCCTTCAAAACACCTGTACCAGAACCCAGCCTGGCTTTACTGTTGGGCCCCTTTTGTTCAGTTTCTTAAATTCTAAAAAAAAAAAACTCTCTGAAACTCTTGCTGCCTCTTCCTACCCTCTAACTACTCGGTGTCTTGTGGCTCAGCTTTTTAGCCCACATTCTACTGAAAGGGCTTCTAGGGTCTCCAATGCCCTCTTCATTGCCACAGTGATGAGCGTTTTAATTCAACTTCTAAAATCGTCCTAGGACACATCACCACATTACCACTTCTGTAAAAATTCTCCACAACCTTTCTTCTCCTGATACACAAGTTGTGGCACCAACTAAGCTGGGGACCGTGGCTGAGAGCTGTGCGTGCAGGTCGCAGCCCAGAGGCGTGGCCTCGCTGCAACACCGGCCAACCCAGAGGACCACAGGAGGCTTCCTCTCCTCCCAGGCCCTGTCACTGCATCTCCAAAGGCCTACCTACAGCAGTTAGTTCCTTTTACCTACTATATCATACCCAGCTACAACAAAAAGTGCAAGACATACCAAAAAAGCAAAATACAGAGTTTGAAGAGACAGGGCAAGCATCAGACTTGGACTCAGATATAGTAGGGATGTTGGAATCATCAGGCTAGAAATTTAAAACAACTATGATTAAAATGCTAAGGGATCTAATGAATAGACAGCAGGTATGAACAGATGAAAAATTTATGCAGAGAGAAGTAAATTCTAAGGGAGAAAAAAGAAAGGATAAAGATGAAAAGACTGAAACAAATGAAGAATGTCATTGGTGGGCTTATTAGCAGACTGGACACAGCTGGGGAAAGGATCTCTGAGGTTGAGGATATTTCAACAGAAACTCCTCAAACTGAAAAGCAACAGAGAAAGAGAAAAAGAGAAACTAGAACAGAATATCCAGGAACTGTGGGGCAACTATAAAAGGTGTAACATATACATAATGGCAATAACAGAAGGAGAAGAGAAAGGAACAGGAGAAATGCATGAAACAAAAATGATGAAGGATTTCCCCAAATTAATGTCAGGCACCAAACCACAGATCCAGGAAGCTCAGAAAACACCAGGCAGGATAAATACCAGAATCACTACACTTAGTCTTATCATTTTTAAACTACAGAAAATCACAGATAAAGGGGAAAACACCCCCTAAAACTAAAAGAAGCCAGAGGGGGAAAAAACACCTTACCTATAGAGAAGTAAAGATAAGAATCACATCCGAGGTCTCAGTAAACCTTGCAAGCAAGAAGAGCATGGAGTAAACATGTAAAGTGCTGAGAGAAAACACCACCCACTTGAATTCTGTACCCCATGGCATTGACCTTCAAAAGTAAATATACTACCCGCATAAAGTAAATACATATTATCCTTTAATTGTTACTATCCTTAAATATCATTGTGACTAAAAGCACTAGATGAGTGCCTACATTGCGGACGATAACTGCACAACTATGAGAGACAGTTCTTGGTGATATTAATTTCAGGCAGAGAATTGAGATCTGTGCTTATAAAGTGGAGTGGAACGGAGGGGAGGTATGAAAATTATGCCGGAAGAGGAACAGCTGAAAAAGCTGGGGAGCAGTCCTCCACTGTGCTGAGAACTGCCTGCAGGAAAAGCAGTCCTTTTTTGCATGGCTCTAAAAAAAGGAGATGAGTTGCATAAGTTACAAAACAGACCAGAAGACAGTTAAAAACCATGACATAGGAAATCCTTTCTAAAGAAACTGACAGGCTCTGTT